AATAATGTTTAATATGTTTGTTCAGAAGAGAGCTAAAGGATGTTATAGAATTGTTAACTTAAGGGTGATATAATCTAAGACAGAGTATAATTATTGTATTGTTAACCCTGTGTGTGGCTCTGGGAAGTCGGGGTGGGGAGGGAGGGGGGTGGGGGAGGGTGGGTTTTGGGGAGGAGGGGAGTTATATTGTAAAACTTTTAAAAAATTTCAATTAAAAAATAAATAAATCCCCTTTATTCGCGCCTTGCGCCTGCGTGCAACACCAGCGCCAACCAGTCTGGTCCCGGGCAGCTTTTACAGTTGCCCGGAACCGTTAGCAACATTTCTGGGCTTGCTGAGTTTCCTCAGCCAGCCCAGGACACAACAGTTTGTGTTTGGATTTAGTTTCTTATTCTGACACTCCTTGTGTCACAAGCAGCAAAAAATTATTTTAGGGTCTCCAGAATATGTATTTTGTATGGGTTTAGTGGGGCATTGTTGCTCCTTTTACCGAATTAGTTTAACTTGACAGTCTCAAAATTCTTGGCTATATCCAGAATCTGAGCAGCTGCAGCTCTTAGTCCAGACTCATCACCAAACTGATTCTTCTCTACCAAAACTGATCAAACTCCTGACTGTCAGGACCCACTTCAATACCTCATCCCAAGAAAGCAGAACTCATGGAAGCAAGCTTTTCCAAAAGGAACTTTTATTAGGAGAGGATGATAGCAGGCATACTAGATAGGATCTGAGGTTTTCCTGCTCAGATCAGTGATTTAAAGTGTCCCCAAGCAAACTCCACCCCATACTTCATCCAGACAGTTCAAACCGGCCAATCTCCAGGTGTTAAGTCCATCAGGGGAAAGGGAAGATAACATCAGGCCAGTTCTGGTTGGAACTGCAATGGTTAGGCGATTCTTCGCACCTTCTCTTGAGAGCAGAGAGTTAAGCCGGTTGCTGGATGCTGCATTCCTTTCTACCTCCCCCTTTTCTAATTGACAGTTTAAGGAGAGGAGTTTACGGAGAGAAATAGTGCAGGAAAGCAAAGTGTTACATTTTAGCAATAGAGAAAACTAAGGCAATAAACCCACAATCATTCCAGCCCTCCCCTCTAGGAGTATGGCAGAACCCAGGGAGAGAAGAGAATGGAATTTGGATCAGAGGAAGAAGCAAGGGAAGTATGAAATCAGACAGATATGGGTATTATTATTTGACAGATATTAGACAGGATCTATTGACCTTATTCCATCAGTACTCCTAGCTATCTAAGAGTTATCACAGATTTACTAAGAAAATAGAACCCCATAGGCGATCTCCCTATCAATTCATTTTAACCACCATGGATGTTGAGGCACTATATACCAACAATTCCCACAAAATGTAGTTCAAGCCATTAACCACATTATCACTGAAGCCAAAACAGCATGTCATGTGTGGTTTTTTATTCACCCATAACTACTTCACCTTTAGCAATGTCAGTCCTCCCAAGTAAACCAGACTGGAAATATGACTAGGTGAGTAATTCTATGTTATTGCAAGGCTACACTACTAGAAAATAGAATCTCCCAAGTGTATCTTGAAGGCACACATTTCCTGCCACCACCTTTAACTGTTTGAATTATTATAGTGGGTCCTTTCCAAACCTCTGACCATTGATCCATTGGGGGCTCCTGCTTCTCTTGTCTGTTTGTTTCGTAGGCAATATATATTTCCCTTGTCCCCCAAGGTACAAGCAGTAACATGTCCATGCAAATCAGTGGCATGGCCACTGGCAAATGAATATGTCCTCAACATGTGCAAATCTTCATGGCTCTTAAAGCACCACTTTCTTAACTCTCATCACATGAAGCCTTTATGAATCTCTCATCAAATTCCATCATGACTTCAACAACTTCTATCCCACCATCAATTTCATCCTTGACCTATCTATAGAAGTTCATTTCCTTGATGTCACCATAAAAATACACAATAGGCACATAAATATCATATCAAACATTGTCATGCATACCTAATGCTTCCAGCTTTCACCCAGTAAACAACACCGAATCTATCAGCCAGGCTTAATGCTACAATCACTTTTATTTTTTGACAGAGATGTTCAAGAATACCCAATAAGATAAGTTTATCAACAGATAAATAAATACAGTAGAACCAAATCAATTCTCAGGAAAAAAAATCTGCAGAAATAGAACAAAACACACCACTTGTTGCCACTTACAGTTTATACCTCAAACTACTCAAATCAATTATGAATAAGCTACAGCTTACACTGGACAATGATACTGCACTTTCTCAGGCTCACACACAACTACCCAACCTGAAGCAGATTCTCAAAAACAACAAGAAACAATGGGACAATAATCCAACATGGGAATCAGACCCTTCAACAAATCTAGATGTATGCCTTTTAATAAAATTTGTTAGTTGGGAAAAAGTCTACCATAAAGAGATGGGAAAAATTGCAATTTTGTTTACTATATATATATTAATGGCAGCAAAAATCATATGCTCAAAAAAGGAAAGAGGCATCAACTCCCACAATGGTAGAATGGATTGGAAAGATAATGGAATTGGCAGACACGGCAAAGTTAACTGCATTAATTGGGTAAAAATGTAAACAGTTTTTTTTCCCACTTGGAAATAACTTCTGGACTTTCTGCTCAAAAGGATAAAAAATGAAACTTTGAGTTTGAGTTTTTATGATTAAGTCATGGTTGTAGAAATGATTAGTACCGTATTTACAATTTTAGATAAGTATAATGTTGATATAACTGCATTATATATCTTACTGCACTGAAAGAATTTGAAAGTCATTGCTTTTTGCTTTCTTCTTTTTTTTCTTTCCTCACTTTAGCAACCCTTCCCTTTTCCTTTCCCCCTTTCCTCTCCCACTTTTTTCTTTTGTCTTTATTTGTATTTTATATTAAGAAAAAACTTTTAATAATATGTTTTTAAAAAAGGAAAAATGCCACCAGACCTGATTTTTAGCCAACTCAACTTTCATCTTACAATACCTACAGAAACAAACACATCTTTATTTCTGATTAAAGTCAAACCTCTTCATAGTGGCATTTTCTTTAATTGCATCTAAAGTGGATTTATTACACAGAGCTCCCTCAGAACCACTTTATTTTTCAGAAATCACAACTCATCTAGAATGTAGCAATGATGGCCTTACAATAGAACTATATTATATATCTTTCTGACACAATTCAAAGTGCGGGTGATGATTTTAGAAGTTTTCAAGGCTAGCTCTATGTAATAGGGCAAATCCATTTCTGTCATTTAACATCCACTACTATGGAAGTGTCAGGATCTAGTTATATTTCCTTTCTATCTATCTCCTCTGATCTAAAACCAATTCTTACCCTCTCCTGAATCCTGCCATACTCCTAAGGGGGAGTGGGAGTATGCATGAGGGTTTTATTACTTTCACTTCCTCTATTCACTACAAAGTAACCTTTTGTTTATTAGCCTTTTATCCTATGCCCCTCTGAACTTCTCCTCCTTACCAGCCAGCTAGGAAGGGGTGTGTGTGAAAAGATGCAGCCTCCGGAATCTGGTTTATTTATCTGTCATCAAAATAAGGTGTGAGGAGCTGTTGAATGTTCGTGTACAATGGAACCGGATTGATGTTATCTTTCCTGGATTTAACATCTAGAAATCTGCCGGTCTGAATCGCCCAGAAGAACTGTGGGATGGGGGCTGCTTGGGGACATTTTAAAACATCGATTTGTAAGGAAATCCCTCAGATTTTGTCTATCATGCCTGCTATCAATTTCTCTTAATAAAAGTTCCTGTTGGAAGAGACCATTTCCAAGAGTTCTGCTTTCTTAAGATGTGGATTGAAGTGGGTCCTTACAGGAAGCTTGTATTAGTTGATGGTTTAGTTCCAAATACAATTCTTTGGTTGCTAACTTATAAAATTCAATATGACTTAACTAGGCAAAACCAAGTAAAATCAGCTTTATCAGAATGTATAGTGTGTGCTTATTAAGAGTCTTCTCATATTGACAAATCCAATGAGAAGGATGCAAATGCAGGCACTGGAGGGGGAAGGTCCCCATCTATATCAAGGGGCAGAAATAGCCACTTCCTTGATGGCATTCTGGAGGCTTATGAAAACATAGTTATTCCAAAAGGATTTCAGAAATCATACTTACCAGCATGGTTTTCATCCCGTGCTGGCTCTAACTACAGTATATTTAAGCATTTTAACCCTAGTTTTATTAGCTTAATTCTAGCTAGAACTGTGAGTTCTCAGTTCCAAGCAAAGCATAAAATCTGGGTACGTTTATGAACTAGGAAACTTTGGAAAATGGGGCAAATCACAGTCTCACTAAAGATATTAATTAAACTATATACAGCGTCTATGACTTAACAATCTAGATAGCATTTCAAAGAATTTATTGGAAACACTGTGAAAATCAAGATACAATGAGGAGAAAACCATTAGATTTGAATGTCAAACAACTTTTTTGAACTTGGAATAATTATCCTGCAAATAAAACATGTTTGATTTCTAAGCACTCCCTACTTGTCTCACTTCATCACAAAGCAGGATGAAAACCAGCACATAGAGAATCAGTTCCAGCAGGGTAGGCTCTTTTTGGAAATCCATGAGCAGGACGTAGGCAAATAGAAGGAGAAAAGCAATGTAGAACATGACGGTCCAAGAGAAGACCACAAATGGTGAAGTGAAGAACCATGCATAGTAGAAGACCAACTTTTTGCTCCTTTCTATTGGCTTTTTCCTAAGTAAAGGAAGCAAATAGTGTACAATAAATTAATTATTCCTAAAAGAATTAAGTTGGACTGGTTAGCAAAACAACTTAAATTTAGACATTAAACTTAACCACTTAAATTTACATGTGCACATATTATCAAATTATTTTTAATTGATTTATCAACCAGGAGGCCAATAGCAATAGCAAAACCAGATACATGATACAGCTTAGTTTCAAATTACTTGATTATTTAGGCAATGCTTTATAAAGCTAGAGTCATCTAGAGGGGAGTTCTCTACACCGAATGTATATAAATATTAATTATTATGAAAACCAGTGTGGATGGGGAATGGAGAGACTCAGGTTCTAATCTTCCCTCAACAACAGAAGCTCACTGGATGACTTAGAATCAGAGAATCATAGAGTCTACGAGACAATGAGAACAATAAGCCAGTGGAATGGCTTGCCTTCAGAAGTTATGGGTGCTCCATCCCTGGAGGCTTTAAAAAAGAAACTGGAAGCCATTTGTCTGAAATGATATAGGGTCTCCTGCTTGAAAAAGGGTTAAACTAGAATAGTGGCCCCCAACCTTTAAATCTTGGTGGCCTGGCCCAATGGAAGGGACATGTGAGTGGCAGGTACACATGCGTGCAAACAGCTCCATTTGTGTGAGCAAGGTGCACACACTCATCCTCCAATCATGCAAATGGAGCTTCACATGGGAGTGGAATGTGCTTGTGCTCACATGCGAAGCTCCACTTGACTCAGAGGCAGGCACATGCTCATGCGCAAAGCTTCACCCGTGTGAGTGGAGGGCGCTCCATTCATGTGAATGGAGCTTCGTGCATGAGCACAAGTGCCCTCCACTCACACAAATGCAAGAACTCTCCACTTGGGCAAGTGGAGCTTCACATGCGAGTCCAAATGCCCTCTGTTCAAGTGTCCTCCACTTGAGTGAATAGAGTTTTGCACGCACACTTGCCCACGCTTGCCCATTTCTCCCTCAGCCCAGTTTCGAACAGTAGTTCACTGTGGCCTGGGGGTTGGGGACCCCTGGACTAGAGGACCCATGGTCCCTTCCCAATTCTGTTATTCTGTTATTAATTATAGGCCTGGAAGGAACCTTGGAATCTTCTAGTCCAACCCCCTGCTCAAGGCAAGAATCCTTATACCATCCCGAACAAATGGTTGTCAAATCTTTTCTTAAAATCCTCCAGCAATGGTGCATCCACAACTCTGGCAGGCAAGCTGTTCCATTGTTTAATTATTCTTACTTTGGGCCAGTCATTCAGTTTTACCAGTCAATCTACTTTACAGGATTGTCTACTTTAGGGGACAAATAGGAGGCTTTGAGTTTCTGAATGAAAGGCAAATATTAATAGAACATAAAATAGAGTTGGAAGGGACTTTGGAGGTCTTTTAGTCCAACCCCCTGCTCGAGCAGGAAACCCTATACTATTTCAGACAAAGGGTTGTCCAGTCTCTTTTTGAAACCCTCCAGTAATAGAGCACTCACAACTTGCGAAGACAAGCTATTCCATTGATTGATTGTGCTTACTGATAGGTAATTTCTCCTTAATTCTAGGTTGCTTCTCTCCTTGGTTAATTTCCAACCATTGTTTCTTGTCTTGCCTTTTGATGCTTTGGAAAATAATTTGACTCCCCTTGTCTTTATAGGAGCCCATCAAATATTGGAATAGTGCTATCATACAAAGGTATATGTTAGCCTCCAGCCCCCTGATCATTTTTGTTGCTCTTCTATGCACTCTTTTCAGGGTCTCAACATATTTTTTTACATTGTGGTGACCAGAACTGGATTCCAAGTGTGATCTTACTAAGGCTTTGTAAAGTGGTACTAGAACTTCACTTGATTTTGATTCTATTCCTCTATTAATGCAGCCTAGAATTGCATTGATTTTTTTTGCTGCCTCCGCACACTGTTGCCTCATATTTAAGTGATTGTCCACTAAGATGCCAAGATCCCTCTCACAGCTACTGGCATTAAGAGAACTATACATTAAGTACCAGTTGTCAGCTAGTTACAAACTTACCTGGTGGTGGTGCTGTCTATCCCACATTTTACTAGCTTGGCGAGAAGTAGGTTGTGGTCTACTTTATCAAATACTGAAATCTAAGTATACGATGTCCACAGCATTTCACTGATCTACACTTTGGCAAAGAATGAAATAAGATTCATTTGGCATGATCCGTTTTTGACAAACCCATGTTGTCTTCTGATTATAACCATGTTTACTTCTAGGTGTTCACAGAACAGTTGCTTAAATATCTTTTCCAAGATCTTCCTAGATATTGATGTCAGATTGATTAGGCTGTATTTTCCTGGCTCTGTTTTTTTTTTCTTTTTTGAAGATGGGGACCACATCAGCTCTTTTCCAGTCCTTAGGTAGTGGTTCTGAAATCACATTTGCCAGTTCCTTCAGAATTCTGCGATGTAGTTTGTCAGGACCCAGTGATTTGAATCCGTCTAGCGCTGACAGGTGTTTCCTTATCTTATTTTTGCATATTTTAATTCGCACTCCTAACCTGTCATTTATGGTTCTGTTTTTGGTAAGTCGAGTAATGTTTTCTTTTTGCGTAAAGACCGATGCAAAGTATGAATTAAGCAGTTCTGTTTTCTCTCTAATGTCTTTTACTTCTTTACTATCTTCTCCTGTTACTGGACCAATTGTTTCTTTGATTTTTTCTTGTTTTTTATGTACTGAAATATTTCATTTATTGTTTTTGACATTTGTTGCAAGTCTTACTTCATTCAAAGCTTTAGCTTTCCTAACATCATCTTTGCAGGTTGAGGCTCTTTGTTGGTATTCTGCCTTAGTTATGTGTCTCTCTTTCCATTTTTTGTACTTGTCCTTTTTTCCCCTCTTAGTTGGTCTGAGAATTCTTTATGCAACCATGCTATTTTTTTTTTTTGTTTTCTTGTTTTACTATTTTAGTGGTATTGAACTGGACTGGGCATTTATAATTGTATTTTTTCAGAGTTTCCTATGCTTCTTGATTTGATTTTCCCTTTAAGATTTTCATCCATGGGATCTTCCCAAGCTGTCTCAGAATTTGTTAAAATCAGCTCTTTTAAAATCTGAAACACTGGTTTGATTATGTTCTGTTGCTTTTGTCTGTTTTATATTGAATTCTAAGATGACATGGTCACTCTCCCCTAAGGTTCCTGTAACTTCAATACCCTCTATCACTTCTCTGTTGGTAAGAATTAGGTCCAGTATAGCTGTCCCTCTAGTTGCCATCTCTATCTTTTGGGTGATGAAATTGTCAGCTAGATTGTTCAGGAATCTGTTTGATTTCCCATTTGTTGCAGAGTTTGTCTCCCAGTTGATGTCAGGGTAGTTAAAGTTCCCTATTACTACTGTGGTGTGTTTCCTACATACATTAGTTAGCTGATTAGCAAAAAGTTCATCTATTTGTTCTGCTTGGTTGGATGGCCTGTATAAGCATTTAAGTTCTTTGTGGCTGATCCTGGATATGCTTCCTATATCTCCTACTTTGCATCTGGGTTCTTCTTATAGTATTATAGTTATTATAAAAATTATAATAAAATATTACAATAATAAAATAATAATAAATAATAATAAAATAAGCTAATATAATAAACAAATAACTTTTTTCAAGAATTATAAACATATTTTCTAAACAACTGCATCTGTGTTTTTTTTCTAAGGGTAATAAACCATAAAAGTGAGAGTCAGGTTGGTATACTGGTTAAGGCAAGAGGCTAGAAACTGGGATACTGTAAGGACCCACCCCACTTTGCATCTTAAGAAGACAGAAGAGGGATAAAAATTCCTTCCAAAATGCAGACGTAAATTGCACTCCCCTATCAGAGATGATGCGTTGGGGTGCTCCATGCAGTCTGTAAATATGCTGGACAAACAGTTTCACTAAGGCTTTTGCAGTGGGAATCTTTTGGCAAGGGATAAAGTGTACCTGTTTGGAAAACAAGTCCGTGACCGTCCAGACAACAGTATTCCCATAGCTTTCTGGTAGTTCCACTATAAAATCCATGGCTATTTCCCTCCAGGGGGCTGAAGGCTTTGCCACTGTTTGTAACAGTCCGGGCGATTTCCCTTGCAACCTCTTNTTTGAGCTTAAATTGGAACTGGTGGAAATGCTGGGACCAGCGGGCTTGTTTGGGGTTGAGCTTCCTGGGTGTTTTCAGGGCTTCCAAATTCTTGTGATCAGTCCACACCTGGAAGGGAATTTTGTTGCCTTCTAGGAACTGGCGCCACGTGAGTAATGACCAACGTATCCCGTATGCCTCTTTCTCCCATACGGGCCAGTGCTGTTCTGTTTCCGTGAGTTTCTGGATGTATACGCACAGGGTTGCAATACCCCTTCATCGTTTTCTTGTAATAGTACAGCCCCCACTGCCACATCACTTGCATCCGCTTGTATTACGAAGGGCTTATCCATGTCTGGGTGCCTCAGAACTGATTCGGCAGAAAAAAGTCTCTTTAATCTCTCAAATGCCGCTTGGCATTCCATTGTCCATTTTAGTGGCTGGCTAGGTTTTACTGAGGATGCTCCCTTTGTTTTTAATAAGTTAGTGAGGGGCAGGGCTATTTGAGCAAATGAGGGGATGAATTGACGGTAAAAGTTTGCAAAGCCAAGGAAACTTTGTAGTTGCTTTCTTGTGCGGGGTGGTGCCCAGTCTAATACTGCCCTGACCTTCTCTGGGTCCATTTCAATGCCTTGTGGGGATATGCGATAACCTAGGTAGTCTATCTTTTCCTGGTGGAATTCGCATTTCGAGAGCTTGGCATATAGGTGGACGGCTCGCAGTTTCTTTAAAACCGCTCTGACTAGGTTGACATGTTCCTCTTTTGATTCGGTGAAGATAAGAATGTCGTCTAAGTAAACAAGGACCCCCTTAAATAGGTGCTCCCTTAGAATGTCATTGATTAATTGCTTAAATACTGCGGGGCCCCCTTGTAATCCAAATGGCAAGACTTTGAATTGGTAGCACCCCATGGGGCAGTTAAATGCAGTCTTCCATTCATCCCCTTCCTTGATTCTTACGTGATAGTAAGCTTCCCTTAGGTCTAGTTTAGAAAAAAATTTCCCTTTCAAGAGGTGTGACAACATGTCTTTCATGAGAGGCAGAGGGTATAGATTGCTTTCACTGATTGTATTCAGGGCCCTATAATCCACGCATAAGCGTAAAGAGCCATCCTTCTTTTCCATAAAGAGGACCGGGGCAGCCACTTTAGGCTTGGCTGGTTCAATGAACCCCCTTTCTAGGTTTTTCTTTACGAATCTTTCCATTTCCTCCTTCTCTTTTGGGTTCATGGAGTATAATCTGGGCTTCGGGAGTTTTGCCCCAGGTTTGAATTCAATGGCACAGTCTGTGGGTCGGTGGGGGGGGAGCTCATCCACCCTCTCCTCACTGAAAACTTCAGCAAGGTCTCTGTATTCCTCTGGTATTTCTGGTAGTCCCTTTTCCTCTCCCATGGATGCTTTTTCTGTTTTTGATTCCAGTAGCCCCCCTTGGGATTTTAAGTCCATAGGGTCCCCCTTCGGGAATTTGATTTCTGCCATCCTCCAATTTATCCAGGGGTTCCATTTTTGTAACCATTCCATCCCTAAGATCATTGGACATTCCATGCCTGGGGTCACCACAAATGTTATGTCCTCCTCATGTTTGCCCAGGGAGAGGTGTATTGGTAAAGTGGCTAGGGTATCTGGCACCCCCCCCTGCTATGGACCCATCTAACTGGCCAAATGAGATTGGTTGTTCCAGTCTCCTCGACGGAATGCCCAGATTCCCCACTAGCGTTGGGCTAATGAGGCAGCGTGTGCAGCCAGAGTCTATTAATGCTCTCACCCTCACGGCTTCGGCCATGGGGGGGATGAATATAGTCACTGTCTTGAGGATGGGTGCGATCCGTCCACTTACCAGGGGTTCGCCCTCCGAGCTGTCATCTGAGGCGTCCACCGGCCCTGCGGTGTAGGCTGGGGTTCTTTCCCCCTACTGAGCAGAGGTAGGGGATTCCACAGCTTCCATCATTCTCATGGCAGGTTCTTTTGGCTTAGCTGGAGGCTTTCTGGAGCTACTGGCCAGTGATCTGTCTGGGTTGTGTTGGGTGGCTCTTGAGCAGCATTCTACAGCTCGGTGCCCTTCTTTCCCACACTTGAAACACCCCGGTTGCTTCTTGGCCGTGGCCAATGGTTTCACTGGTTCGCGTGTCAGCTCAGGCGGTGAGCAGCTCCATTGTTTTCCTCGGCGGTGCCTCTTCACTATGTCGATCTCTGCTTCCTCTGCCAAGACGTACCATTCCTCGAGTTGATGTGGGTCCCCTCCGGGCAGGCAAGCATCATATAGGTCATAATTTAGTCCGTCTTTGAAATGGCTAAGGAGGATGTCTTCTGGCCAGTTCAGTTTGCTGGCAATGGCCCGGAATTCTTGTGTATATTCGGCTACTGGGCGTTTGCCTTGCCTCATCGTTTTCATCCTTTCGTGGGCTTTGCGATCAGCCAGGGGGTCCTCAAATCGTCTTTTCAGGGAGGACATAAAACGGTTAAAGTTGTTGAGCTCTGGGGCATTGGAGTTGTGCAAGATCACCACCCAATCTGCGGCCGGACCGTCTAAGGCAGATTGCACAATCCGGATACGGGCTTTGTCACTGGGGATGTCCTGCCCGTATTCCTCCATGTAGCTGAGGACTTGGGTTAGGAAGAATCCCAAGCGTGTTGGCTCCCCTTTGAATTTCACCTCCAGCGGCGGACGTCTTTGAATGGATTGGTTGCCTTCGTTCTCGGTGGTAGTCTCTTCCATTTGGATTTCCATCTGTGGTTTGGCGGAGAGTGGGGACTACTGGATCAGTAGATGTCCCCGGGGTTGCAGGTTCCACTTCCCCTTCGTTGTCTCTCCCTTTGCGGCTCCAGGAGCTGGGGCGGGCGTAGGGCTCAGGATTCCCCTCTCCTAGGGAGCTGAGAGTTCGCTTCATTAGGTCGATTGCTTTCTCTAGAATCCAGCCCGAGTACGGTGCCCAGCTCCCTTCCTCTTCACTTGCGTGCAGGGATTTCTCCATCTCCTGCTTCCATTCTGGTTGTTTGGAGCCCCGTCTCAGAGTCACCTTTCTTGATTTCTTTCCCCACTCGCCTTTCTTTCCAACGTCCATTGACCACCNCATTCTCACCCCCTTTTCCTCATTGCCGGGAGGAAACTTCAAAAAGGATTACATGAAAGCTAATGACCCCCATTGTTATTGTTAGTCCATTTGGTGATATCCACATCCAGACCCTTTGAAGTAGGCTGAAGGAAGTGAGGGCCATAAAGCCCCTTTGTTCACCCCCTTCCCTTCATCGTATGACAGAATCCAGAGCAGATAGAAATGCGGGTTTTCATAGTTGATAACTAGAGATGGAATATATTTGGATTCTGACATCTACTGTGAGTTCTAGTCCCTTCTTAGCCATGAAAGACAGCTTGGTGATCTTGGGCCAGTCACACATTCTCAGCCCCAACTCACCTCACAGAGTTGTTGTGGGTAAAATAATAATAAGGAGTACTAGATATGTTCAACTTCTCAAGTTGTTTACAAAAAATTATAAAGGCAGTATATAAATTAAATAAATAAATCAAAACAATTTACAATTACATTCACTCACATATGCAAAATGTACTTCATAAATAAAAGACTTTTTTTTTTACCTGAAGGAAATGAAGCCACACCCTATTAAAGGGAAAAGGAAAAGGCACAGAATGATCTTCCAATTTTTGGTGTCTCTCGAAATTTCCCCATACCATTGTTTGGAAAGAAAATTCTGAAAGATAGAATTATGGAATCATGTGGGCTTTATATCCCTGATCTAGTCAAATGCCCTTAATTTTCAATAGTAGTACAGTGGTATGTATACAATGCTCTGAATAGATTCTGTAGAATTCTACTATTGAAATTAAGCAGACCAACAGCCAGATATATATTTATATTTGCACGTTTTGAATTATAAATTGCAAGAATAGTGAAGGGGAAAGATTGATCTTATATTGGCAACATTTGCCCTGGCATAAACAGTAGACATGAGCCCTGAACAGGTGCAAGGAGCAGTAAGACAAATTCTCATCCACCAATGCCAGATGGAGAAACACAGTGATTACAACTTAATTTTTTAAACACCAGTTGATTTATATACATTTTAACTAATCAATTAAACCTATACAGATTTACATATAAAATTATTCTCAACATTTTTCTCATTTAGAAAATGCATATATATGCAATGGAAGGCAGAGTGTTAGAAGTAATACTTTTTTTAAAGCAATTTCAGGGGACAATTTCTAGAGCGGAGACATTTATTCAAATGAACTGGAGTTTGTTGAGGGAGATCAAAAGAGAAGTTTTTTCTTTTGTTCATCTGAGGAATATGGAAAAGAAAACTATTCTCATGATTCATGATCTACTCTTTGAGAACAGGAACTACATGCACTACAAGTTTTTAAAAATATATTTAAATAAATATGTACATACTATAAATCCAACCATTTCTTGTAGTACAATGATGCTAGTTATTTCTGTCTTTTTCATGTATCTCTGATCCTTTCAGGTTCTTTTGCAATGTACTTCTCCTGGACATTTTGATTTTTTTAACTAATTGTAGAAGAATTCATACCAAATAAACAATTGATAATAGCTGAAAATGTTGAACTGGGAAATAAGCAACATTTTCAACATGCCATTTTCAGCTGAGGTAAGACACACTCCCCCACACATGTTGCAAGTGAAAGCAGACTGCCTTCCTGGAAGAGAAGATAAAGATACTAGAAATGAAGCAATTAAATTTCTGTCTGGGTATCAGGAAAGCTGAGGAACTCTTGAATTAGATACTGGAAACACTTGCAGAGAGTAATAATTTCAAGAAGCCTCAGAAAAAACAAGAAAATCTGGAGAGGGGATAGACACATTAAGGAATGTAATACTGTAAAAGGAATCAATTGTTAGCAAGAGCTCTTTTTCCTTAAAGCTTCAGAATAGATTTCTGAATCTTAATTTCAAAATAATTTCCTCATTGATGGTGTTTTTGGACTCTTGAACAAAAAGCAGCTGCAGCTATAGCAGCAGTCCCCAACCTTTCCGCCTCTGCCAACTACAGCGGCAGCAGGAAGGAAGGAGACAGTTTGGTGTGTGTAACCTAATTCCTCACATGAGCTTTGCACACTTGCTTGCCGCTGGTTTCCAACAAACCACAGACCAATAGCAGACTGGGGATTGGGGACCCTAAGCTGTAGGATCTGAAGAAGAAATTTCTGATTCTCTCCTAAGAGATAGATGGTAATGAATCAAGAACTAGAATTGTTTTGTCAAATATGACAAATATGTCAAAACCATAAAATCTTATTAGTCAAATTAGCTGCACAAAATAATTGCTCAGTCTACAGTCTCTTCAACTATGTTGATGGAACATGTAAAACGTTATGGTTCTGTGCCAGACTAGTCAATAAAGAGAAAACTCAGATGCCGATGTGGAAGTTGAGAAAAGCAATTTTCACCACCCAGAGTCTCTTTGAGAATGAGATGGCTGGTCTCTAACTTTGATAAATAATTTTTTTAAAAGTGTATACCTACTAGGTTTAAAATCACTGCTAAAAAAGTCAAATATTTAGGAATGTTTTCAATAAAAAAGCAACAAAGGTATATTCCTGAATAATTATTTATGAACTTGGAAATGTATAACAGATGTTTCTAGATGAGAGAAACTAAATTTGTCTTGGTTAGGAAGAATTATGACTGCCTCAACTAGTTTTCTTGACAAGGTTTTCAAAAGTGATTTGCCATTGCTTCTTTCATAAATCTGAAAGAAAGTGCCTGACCCACAGTCATCTAGCTGACTTTGTGTCTAAGATAACCTTGTTATTCTATGTTCTACTTATGATTCCATCATTTCTATGGAAGGGACAGGTATTCTGGAAAGACTGCACAAATTTATTTGGATTTATGTACACAAAGTAAACTGTTAAGAAACTATGCAATATTAAGTAACTTACTGAAATTTAGGATAAACATGAGAAAAGAGTAAATCCAGGTTTCTCCCATCTTGCTTATTATTGAATATCTATTTTTATGAAGACCCTAAAATATGTTCCTAGATTAGATACTAGGCAATAGGAAACAATAATTTTAAAAAATTATTTAAATAAATTTAGATAACCACCCATATTCTGATTGTGGTTGAATAGCATAGGATTAAAACCAATTGTGCTATTCAAGTGTTAATAAATTACTTAAATGAGGGAATGGAAAATATAACCCTCAAATTTATATATGAGGTAGGAAAAATAAAAAAAATCCAATCAAATATTGGATAGGAGAGACCATACAGATAGTAGTGCATGCAGAAAGTTCTGAGTTATCTTAGAGGATCACAACTATGAGTCAATTAGTGTGATGTAGCTGCAAAATAAGCTAATGGAATCCAACAACCCATCTTGACACTGAACAGACAAGGCATTGTTCCTTTTTATTCTGTAATTTTCAAACAGCATCTAATAATATTGTACCCAGACTGAGCAATGCATTTTTGAAAGAATATTGACAAATTAAGTGAGACCAGAAGACAGCAACCAAAATGATAAGGGGCCTGAGAAGAAAAGTTATTAACTAAAGACACTGAATATATTCAACTGGGAGGAAAAAAGAATGTAGGGAAACATGATAGCTATTTTCTTGCAATTGAATATTTCATGAAGTAGATGTTTTCAGTGTTATTCCAGAAGATAAAATAAGAAATAGTGGATTTAAATTGCAAGCAGGTACATTTAGCTAGACATTGGAAGAATTTCCTGATTGTAATGGAATGGGCAAGAGGTGGTATACTCTCTAGTAATATTTATACAGAAGCACATTGGGCATGCTCTAGTAGATTAATGAATAGGACACGAGGTTGGAGCAGATAATCTCTAAGGTCCCTTCCAATATTTATATTCTATAACTCTAAAATGAAAGTTTTTCAAAATACTTTCCAAATAATTATGGACATATTTTACTAGATGTAAAGCTTCTTTTATTGACTAATTTTATTTCAATAATGAGATATTAAGGCTGCACATTTTCTGCAGATGAAGTAAACCATTTGAAGAAGCTGATTTTGTGACAGCAAGTAGAAGCTGGAAGATATAATGGATACTTCACTTAGCCTGTTTCCTGATTATTGTTTTCCTGTTCCAAATCTCAGACATGCAGCATTTTCAAACACATAGCTTCTCTGCATTTAAATTTGGGAAGAAAGAAATGACAAGTTTCTGAATTCCTAATTAATTCTAACAGAAATCATTTTTCTCTATAACCAAAGAGCTATTTCACATACAAATATTTTCCATGAATGAAATTAACATTGACAACATGAGCAAGGTATATGATATTTACTATACAATTGTATATTTAATATGTACATAATTAAATCTCACTCATTTCAACAGTCCTAACTGCAAGATTAATAGATATACGATTGCAGTCTATTCTGTTTCAGCAAATAAAACCTGTAAATGGGTTATATATTCTTATCTCTGCTATTTTACCTGGACTCCTGGCTGAGCAATGAATTGTTGATCCTTAGCTTCTACAGCAAGTTCTAGACAACTGTTCCCACCCCATGCTTCACAGGAATAAATAAGTAGCTGTTCTGCCAGATCTTCATCACTGCTGTAACATTCTGTGAACAATTCTAGAACAATTAAAATTCAGAGTAGTTAAGCTATTCTTGGTTTTTAATTTCTGCCTGTTAAATTCTATATGGTAAATTTTCATGGCTTCTAAAACCAGTTATCAATCCCTGTCCCAAGGCTTCAGTGATGTGGAGAGCTGACACTTTGCAGTCCTGGCCACTGGTTATAATCTTGCCCTGATCTTGGAGAAAAGACCAAAACTCAATTTTAAAACAACAATTTTGCCTGCAGAAAGTCCCAAGTTCCATTTTTTAACATCCAAATAAGAACATAGCTTGAGATTTGCTGCCATCATAGCAGATTGAGACAAATATTGTTAAATCTCTGGGGATTGTTCTCCATGCCCTAAGCAGCTGTAAATTACCTTACCCTAAATATAAAAAACACTGTTATCTCTACAATCTTGCTACTTCTCCAAAGGACCTCAGCATATATTTGCAGTGATTAAAGTTTTCTCAGATAAGATCCAAGCCCATCTCCTTTTTGGAGTTCAACTGGGTCCCTTTTTGGAGTTCAGCTGGACCTTCAAGAGAAAAGTCATTCCTTTCTTTTGAAAGAGTTCAGTATAGGTTTTTGAGATCTATTTTTTTGAAATATCTTGCTATGTTCATTGTGAAGCTGGCCTACTCAAAATAGAAACTTCTGCCTGGATTTTCATTTTTTTCTGTTGGCTTAAGCTCACCTTTTTTTCCAGCCAGTTTTCAGTCTTCCTGGTGCCAGACAATACATGCCAAACTGCAATTTGATGGCTTTTCAGAGCCAGCCATCACCCTGATGGGCTATGATCATGCACTAGCTAAGGGGTCTCCAACCCCTGGTCCATGAACCAGTACCGGGCCATGGCATGCCAGCAACCGGGCCGCACAAACAACCAAAGCAGGCAGCACACAAAACCACGCCCCCTCCGGTCCATGGAAAAACCTCTCTCCACGTAATTGGTCCCTGGTGCCCAAATGGTTGAGGACCTCTGCACTAGCTTATCTTAAATAACAGGGCATTGATTTAGAGCTACAAGCAGACTTATCTGTTCTACCTAGAAACTTCTTTTTGAATCACTCTGCACACTTTCTCCAACCAGCCAAATACTTTAGTCACATAATATTCTGAAATTTAAAAGGGCTTTATCTCTGGCTAAAATTCATGTCCTCCCAATAACACTCACTGAAGGGAGATACTTACAGATTTCTTTTGTACACATTATCACTAATATTACTAGTAGATATATCCCATGTCCCTTTAAATAACTATACTCTTACAACTTATTTACCTCTGACTAAAAATGTTGAGAACAAAGAATGAAACTTTGCCAAGTCTGAGCATGACAAATGTCTCCTTGCATTTCACACAAAAGTGGAAATGGGAAAAGTAGAAAAAGAAGACTGGCTCTTTGCAGTCTCATCCAGCTTAGAAAAACAGAGAGAAACTAATAGAATTCTTCTCAATTTCATTCAACTACATGTCAGTTCCTTATGCCTGTCACATTGGAATTTAGTTTACTTTTATTTTTATAAACACACAAAGACAAATGAATTTGCATAAAAATATATAATGTAATCAATATCAAACTTCAACAATATACCTTATTTGTTTCCTATAGCTTAAATATATCTTAATAGATATTATTTTTTGTTATGAGAAGGGCATAACTTTTCTGCTAGTTTTAAATCTGGATTATTCTTAAGTCTATGTCAGTCATAAGTCTAATAATGTTAAGTCACTTTATGGTTTAAAATAAACCACATTATAGTTTAACACAATATATTCAATCATGGCTATCAACAATAAATATATATTTGTCTTTTATTCACATTCACATTATTTAAACCAGGCATGGTGAATCTGTGACACTTAAAATTTGTTTTTCAACTCCAATTCCCAGGAATTTTACCCAGGAGATTTACTAAAAATTCAGCAATATATAAAGAGATATAAATTCCTTTTTTATAAATAACTATGAATAATCAATATGGTTTGGCATTATTGCATTAGAGTAGAAATCTAGATAAAATGATATATCTACAGAATGTTCTAATCTATATGTTATACTAAACCAGAGTGTAGCTGCTTACTTTTGTCTTAGCATGTTGTGTGAGCCTAACCACTATGATGTGTAAACCCAGATTTGTGACTTAGCATGATATTGATACTGAACTAACATTTTAATAAGATACTATTTGATTTAACAAATCATGGATCACCAAAATATGGCTCAATGTAAGTGTAAACTCAGCTTTATTAATCTGGATCTTGAAGTTAATTTAAATCTATTGTAAACTCTAATACATCTGAACAGAAGTAATATAGCCAACAATGTAATAAATATGTCTCATAATTGAGAACGTCAAGTCAACATAAGAACCTCTGATACAAAAAACCCAGCCACGTGTTCCTACATCTATTCAATGCGCCAAGAGTCCCATTCAAGCTAGCATACTACTTGAATTCTCCTATTTTTAGTCCTGAGATTTATGTGTACTGCACTAAATATGATGAGCTATTCTTCAGTCTTTCCTTTGATTCTAGTTTTTCTTCCCTTACTACAAACTGTATGTATTTAATCTCTTAATTTATAGCTGACCTTCTTATATTGAACTTACCCACAGCTCTTGTTTCATATTCATTTGCCAATTCTTCTGATTCTCCAGCAGCGTTAATATCATTCTTTACTTTAGCCAAGCTTTTCAGAAGCTTGCTGGCCCCTAATGCTGCCAAGGTGCAGCCTCTTGTCTGCAAAGAGAATTGTTAAATCATCTTTTATGACATTCTAATATTGAAATGACACTCACATTACCAAACAGCAATGTAGCTGCATAGTATAGAAGGGTTCCATTCTTTGGAGCCACATTTGAAAACTCTAACTTGCACAATAAAATGATTAAAAGTGACGAGCAATTTGTCCTGTGCAATTTCCAGCAATCTACTGACCATGACCCTCTTGAAATAGAACATTCCATTAAACAAATCCATGGAATAGGACACTTTTCTGCAATTATATTACTAAACTGGTTTAGAATTCAACTAAACCAACTTTTCAAATATATCTGCATTTTTGTTTTACCTTCAATATAGCTCCAGTTGATATTATTCTAAATGTCAATCTAAATTCATATTTCATATTACCACATTCATGTAAACTATATATAAAAGGAAGTAATAATAATAATAACTCATTTAGGAGGAAGGGCCCACAACTTTCCCAAATTATAGTATCTATAAATCTTAAGCAGAAAAGAGACATCTCTATTGCTCTATGCTTACATAATAATCCAACCTAGATATGTATATGCAGAAGTAATTCCTATTGACTTTAATATTTGTATGTATGGAAATCTAGCCTAGGGAAATAGTTTTTGTCTCAAAAGATTATGAATCTAATTGTTGCTAGTGATGCCAGAAGTGTGAAATACCTGCTCCCAAATTACAGTGGATAGTTCCTTTTTGTTTTGAAGGATAGCCCAAATAAAGAGAGCTTGCAAGGGGTGCCTCGTAATAAGAGATCCATCCTGAAAGGACATAATTACAACAAAAATTCCAACATTAACAAATATGGGAATTCAGTCTTAATGCCTGTTTTGTTTTACATAGAAAAATGTACTTAGAAATGTTCCATTGAGTTCTGTGGATTGAAATGGATACAGATGGGTATATAATTTCAGTTTAAAAGCTATACTTGACATACCAGCAGCTGTATTTCTATGTCATCATTGCCATTTTTGCCTTCTTTTTTTATGTCTTTTCTGAAATCCTCTACCATCTTCCACACAAAAGTAAGAAGAGCATCACTGTAGGAGTTCTTAGCAATTTGTAGGTTTTTAAACACCAGATTGCTGAAGTTGTTTGTATAGAGCTCTGTTAAAACTTCATGAGTGAGGAACTTCCTTAGATTCAGCCCGTTTTCAAGAAAGAGACGAACAAATTTTGGTCTGTCCTTTACCAGGGCTATAAACATGACATCCTGAAGATCAGCAGACTGGAAACAAACAAGAAACAACAAAATGTTTAGAAATCTTGTGGTGGGGAGAGAAACACTTTCGATACACACACACACACACATATATATATATACATATACATATACATACAGGTACATATGCATATATATATATACATACACATACATACATATACATACATACATACATACATACATACATACATATATATACACATATACATATACATATACATATATACATATATACATATTTTTAAAACAGAAAGGTGATTCCTGGGTAAACTCATATCAGCTGGCATAAAAATGTGTGAACACCAGGAAGTTTATAAAACTATAAAAGTTTAATAAAACACAATACCAAGCTTTCGCTGGCAACTGTCAGCATCATCAGGGTAACTTCCAGTCGATGGGGAAGCCTTTTATGGATATGGCGCTCTTTGCACCCAGTTCCTAGATCTCGTTACCGGTCCCAGCCAATCCACCTGCGTTTTGATAGTAATTTCCGTATTGCTAGCCATTGCTTTCTTGCTTTCCTTGCTTGTATCCATATCATCATACTTTCCCCCCCTCTTCCTGCGACCGTGTGTTACCTTTCTGCTGTTTACCCTCTTCCTTTTCTTTCCTAACGCTCCCTGTCGCCGTTCTCCTCCCACTTTCTTTCTTTCTATGGGCCTTTTTTGGAACTGCATCCTCATTGTCTTTCCCTACACCACGAGGTTTCATTATGATAGTCTCATCCTGTCTCCCGTTCCCCAGCGTTCCCTCGCTAATTTTCTCCTTCATTTTCCCATCCATGGGGACGTTCCCAATGGCATTGCCAGAGTTCGTCCATGGTCCCTCCCCGAGTTGGCTGCAGCCTTCCTCCTCTCCCCACAGCAGGGCTTTTCAACCAGTGGTACGGGTACCACCTGTGGTACTTTGGCACCTGGCAGATGGTACGCAACCATCTTAGAAAAGTGGTAGAGGGGGAGGGGAATGAGCTGAACCGATGGCAGCACTGCACAAGCCTGAGCGAGAGATGGCTGGAGCTGCAGGGCTGTCAGGGCTCAGCAGAAGCACCAGGATCAGTGCCAGGCTCCAGCTGGAGCTCAGCGCTGATCCTGACGCTTCTGCTGAGCCCAGAAGAAGCGCTGATCAGCTGGAATGTTGCAGTATCTCCAGGGTCTTGTGATTTACATTCAGATGCTTGGCAACTGATTCATATTTATGACGGTCACAGTGTCCCAGGGTCATGTGAAGTGACCAAAACCTGCTGCAACCACCCAGCAGACGGGGGGAATAAAAACCAAACACCCCCACCCCACCCCCGCTGCCAATCCTCAACAGAAATGCTCACAACAATGAAAACCTCGGACAGGAGGAAGAGTGCCGCCGGGCAGGCAGGCAGGTGTCTTGCTCGACTGTGGCTTGGGGGGGCCTCTTTTTTCAGTGCCATTGTAACTTTGAACAGTCACTAAGCGAACTGTTGTAAGTCGAGGACTACCTGTACTTCATCACTTTTTTTCCTCTTTTTTTTTTTGGTCATCAAGTTTTTGACACCTTGCTAGGCGACTGGTGGTACTCGGATGTTGCCATATCCTAAAAGTGGTACAATGGGTGAAAAGGTTGAAAAGCCCTGCCCCACAGGATCCTTGGTGCAGAGGGGGAAGGGACCCCCTCCCCACTGCCTGTCCATTTCTCCATATATACACATATACACATATATACACATATATACACATATACACATATATACACGTTTTCGTAGATTTTCACGGGTACAGGTATGCAGGTCTTGACATATTCAGGTCTTTTCCCGTGTAAGATTGAGTAGTGCTGTCTGAAAAACTCTAACCCTAACCCTAACCCCCGCACTTTGGGACAAATCCAAACAACTCGCCGTCTGGAGAGCCGAAACGCAGACCACCCTCAAGACAGACACACACACCAACAAACTCCGAAGACTACAAGAACACCAGAATCAAACCCCTCCTCCCTCACATCCACACATGAAACAAACAGTGCATAACATCTCAGATAGGATCCTCACCAAAGCCGAAACCAATGTCCTTTCCAAAGGATTCAACTTTGCAGTCGCTCCGAAACACATTTCCACTGAAACCATTATATGCGGAGTTGAAACCAGCCTGTCCAAAATCAACCCTGACGACGCTAACAGAATCAGACTCGAAACCATCAACATCCTCTGCACCACCAAGCCACCCAAAAGCATCTTACCCAAAGAGGAACAGACAGCACTATTTAACCTGAAAGAAAACACCAGCATAATAATCCTACCAGCAGACAAGGGCAACGCCACGGTGGTTATGAACACATCTGACTACCAAACCAAATTAACCAACCTACTCCAAGACTCCACATACAAACCCCTAAACACAGATCCCACCACCTACCTGGAAAAATCCACTAGATCCAAAATAAAAGCCTCCCCCATCAGCGAAGAGATCCAGCAAAGAATCATTCCCAGAGAGAAATCATCCAGATGCCCTAAGCTCTATGGGCTCCCCAAGATACACAAAGAAGGAACCCCACTTAGACCCATAATCAGCTCCATAGGCTCACCTCTACAAAACCTAGCCAAATTTCTCGCCAAACAACTACAACCCTATGCAGAATCCATCACCTCACACGTAAAAAACTCATTCCAGTTCATAGAGATCGTAAAGAAACAAAACTTACAGCCCAGTGACCTACTCGTGAGCTTCGATGTCATATCCCTCTTCACCCAAGTGCCAATCAAAGAAGCCTTGACAGCTATCCAAAACAAATATAACCCCCCAAGCATATCCTAGATCTGACCAACCACTGCCTATCCAACACATACTTCATCTACAACAGACAAAAATACAAACAAATAGAAGGAGCACCTATGGGATCACCCCTCTCACCTGTCATTGCAAACCTCTACATGGAATACTTTGAAACCCAAGCTCTAGAAAAATCTGATCACAAACCCAAACTCTGGCTCAGGTACGTAGACGACACCTTCATAATCTGGCCACATGGGAAAGAAAAACTGGACAACTTCCTCACACACCTCAACAGCCTACACCCCAAAATACAGTTCACCATGGAAACAGAAGCTAATAACCAACTCCCCTTCCTGGATGTCCT